GGGAAGAGCACCACTGCTACTAAAGAAGGGAGATTTATTCTGTCTAATAGTTTAACTCTTGATAATGTTCTTTATGTTCCTGCTCATAAATGCAACTTGTTGTCTGTGTCTCAGTTGTTAGAAAAATAGTCTTATTTTGTTATGTTCACTGACAAGCTATGCATTATTCAGGACCGCAGTTTGAGGAACCTGATTGGAGCGGGGGAGCAGTGTGATGGGGTCTATATTTTCCGTCTAGTTCGTGCTCAGAATCCTCAGGCAAATAAAGTGGTTATTTCATATGCAAGTTTGTTATGGCACAAATGTCTTGATCATCTGTCGATGCAAGTGGTTAGTTCTCTTCCGGGAGTTTCTCATAGTACTCATGGTCATAGTAGTTCTTCTAGTTGTTCGTTTGATTGTGATATTTATTTTATGGGGGGAAGCAACACCGCAACTCTTTTCCATTGAGTACGAAAAGAGCATCTGGTATTTTTGATTTGATTCATTGTGATATTTGGGGTCCAAATAAGATTTTGTGTAGTTGTGATGCTCGGTATTTTCTTACCATTGTTGATGATTTTTCACGTTCTACTTGGGTGTTCTTAATGGTTGGTAAATATGAAGCTTCTTAGTTGGTTCGTGAGTTTTGTGCTATGGCTAAGACTCAATTTGGTCGTAAGGTCACGGTTGTTCGTAGTGATAAGGGTCAGGATTTTCCCAGTTTGGGTTATTTCTTAGCTAAGAAAGGCATTCTGCATCAAACGTCGTGGGTTGATACGGCTCAACAGAATGGTAGAGTTGAGTGTAAATATCGTCACATTTTAAATTTGGCACGAGCTCTTCGATTTCAGGCAAAGTTGCCCAAGCATTTTTGGGGTGAGTGTGTTATGACTGCAGTATATCTCATTAATCGCACACCGACTCTGGTTTTGAAAGGTAAAACTCCCCATGAGCTTTTAATTGGTCAGTCACCTTCATATGATAGTTTGCGAGTTTTTGGTTTCCGTACTTATGCTGCAAATCGTCCCGGATTAAAGATAAGTTTGATTCTCGTTCTCGAAAATGTATTTTTTATGGTTATCCTCACGGAAAGAAGGGTTGGCATCTTTATGATTTAGCGACGAATTAGGTCAAAATCTCGTGCAATGCACGGTTGTTAAATATTTTTAACAATAATATTACAAAATACTACATAAAGTATATAAAATATATTTAGAAATAATTCATTTGAATATATATGATATGGAATATGATTGTCAATATGAAAAGAAAATGACACTGATCACACATTCACATTGGCCAGACTTAAGACAAAGATCCATGGTTTCCATTACTGTACCCATTTCACATTGATCAACATCAAAATTACTCAAAAAGAAAAAAAAACAGCAAAATCAACCAATTTATCTTACCCTAAACAAATAAATAAGGGCATGTTCTGTTCCGTTGAAATTCAGTTCAGTTCAGTTCAGTTCAGCTCGGCTCTTAATTTATGTCTAATGATATTGCTAATGATATAAAGCCAAATTTCATTATTTTAAGATCTTATTGCAACGACAACAACAGCAAAAATAATAATAATAATAATAATAATAATAATAATAATAATAATAATAATAATAATAATAATAATAATAATAATAATAATAATAATAAGCTTGAGGATCCCCAATGTGAGTTATTACTTCTTCGTGCGTGTACTGGAGTTTCAAAACTCTACTTTTCTATGCGCACTTGTCCTCCTCGTCTTTTTGAAGCGGCCCAGATTTCTTTTGATGTGGCCCTTCGAGGTTCTGTGGAGCGCATTGTAACTGCTTCGGGGCCAGGTTTTGGTGATTGGCAATGGCGCCTTGTCACCTTACCTTTTTCTTATGGAGGACTGGGTGTCTATTCAGCGGGTGATGTTCGACACTATGTTTTCCTTGCGTCGCGTTTGCAGTCTTCTGGTCTACAGGCTTCGCTTCTTCGCAATTCTGGTATTGTTGGTCCAGGTCCGGCCTTCGACGACGCTCTTAGTCTTTTTAATAGGACTGTGGAGACTGACCTTTTGCGTTACCCTAGTGAGATCGCTGCCCCCAAACTCATGAAGAAATTGGTAGATATATATTTCACAAAGGTCACTGCATCTGCAGAATCCACTTTCTCCTTGTCTCCGCGTCAGGTTGCCTTATGGAAGTCCCAGCAGGGGGATTACTCTTCTGCCTGGTTGCGAGCGATCTCGATATCAGGTCTGGGTCAGACTATGAATGGTAAGACTTACCGTTGTGTTCTTTGCTACCGGTTGGGTGTTCCCTTGTTCTCCGTATCGGCACCTTGTTCTGCTTGCTCAAGAGTTTTTGATGGAGATATTTATGGGGATCATGCAGTGTCTTGTGCTGGGATGGTGGGTATTAAACATCGGCATAACGTTGTTCGTGATACCCTTGTTGATATTTGTTTCCGCTCTGGGATTTCTGCAAGGAAGGAGGTCAACGTTGGGTTAACTGGAGGGAACGACGGGGCTCTTCGGCCAGCAGATGTGTTGCTTAACTCCTGGGATAGAGGCCTAGATGTATGTGTTGACTTGACGGGGTCTTCTCCATTGACTCAATCTGGGTTGTCTGACTTCGTTCCTGGTCGTGTTATGTCGGCTGCGGCTCAGCGGAAGCGAGACAAGTATGGGGCGCGTTGCAGGGCTATTGGCTATGGTTTTCTTCCTTTCTCCTTTTCTTCATTGGGGGAATTAGAGAAGGATGTCGTTGCGTTGCTGAAGCGGGTTCAGGCGTTCGCTAGGACTCAGGATATTGGAGCTCGTGCGGCTGCTCACATCTTTAACAGGATTGGGTTCGCTATAGCTAGAGGGGTGGGGGCCCAGATTGTATCTCGGCTCCCCACTAATTTCTTGTAAATCTTTTGACTTTGTAGGTTTTTGTTATTTAATAATAATAATAATAATAATAACAATAATAATAATAATAACAATAATAATTAAAATAATAATAATAATACTAACAATAATAATCAATAAATAATAATAATCATCAATAAATAATAATAATAATAGTAATAACAATAATAATAATAATACTATAATAATAATCAATAAATAATAATAATAATAATAATAATAATTATTATCAATAATTAATAATAATAATAATAATAACAATAATAATATTGATACAATTCATTGTTCAAATGGTTCTATTTTTTTGAAACATATTTCTAATGTTAATCTCATTGAGAAAATTAGAGGTTTCAAGTTTTTAATATATTTTCCATACATTTTATAATATATTTTCCATACATTTTATAATTATAATTATATAGTATACTTTTCGTAAATATTTTAATATGTACATTTGTATATACACATATGTATAGTAATAAATATCAATAAATAATCAAAGATCACTAATCCGTAGTTAAAAATCACTAATTAATAAGTTCAGTTCAGTTCAGCTCGGTTCAGTTCAGCTCAGTTCAGTTCGGTTCGGTTCAGTTCAGTTCAGTTCAGTTCAGTTCAGTTCAGTTCAGTTCAGCTGAGTTCAGTCAATCGGAACAGGCCCTAACTCATCAAAATGCTCAATGTAAAAAATGAAAATACCCATCAACAAATCACTGCCAAAAACCAAAATTCAATAACAACCCAGAATTTAAACAAACAATTTAGAAAGAAAACAAGAAAGAATTTGAAGGAAGAATACATGAGCAAGACTAATGATTAATTCACGAAATTTAGGGTGTAACCCAGCTTGTTGTTTGAGACGAGTTGCAATGGGTTTACTGAGAGTTCTCAATGCGAGTGTCCCAATCTTAATTACAGGAAAAAACCATTGCTTTGCTATTCCTAAATCTGTTCATACAGATTTCTGGGTAATTTCAGAAAGGTAAGTTCAAGTCTACCAGGTGTTTGATGTTTTGCTTGAGAGAGAAAGAGCATAATAAGAATGACATGAAACGAGAATTGTGTGTTTTTAGTGAAATTTTTGCAATGAACTACATTTTACATTTTTTCGCGCTATTAAGAAGGGAAGTTGCGAAGATGGTCAAAGGAGAGAGAGGGAGTTGGAAGTAGGGAGGTTTGACATTTTAATTTGGGGTTTTGACTTTTGATCCAAGGCTAACTTTTGACTAATAAAACTCAAAAAGTTAAAAGTCTTACTATAAAAACATTGTCTTCCTCTATTGAAAAATTCACATCCAAAAAAAATGATTCACATTTAAAGAAGGTGAATATACGAGTAACAAACATATAACAGAACGATTTAAAAACTGTTTTTGAAAACTAAGGTAAAAGAACGATTGAAAATCTATCTTAGAAAACTAAGGCCCTATTCTGTAGAGCTGTTCTGTTTAACCCTGTTGAAATTTGCTCAGTTCCACCCTGCTGATTGAAATATGTTCAAATATGCTCTGAACCTGCCCTGCTTTGTTAAAATCTACTATGTTTAAAAGAATCGGGCCTAAGAGTACAAAACTTTCATCAACGAGGTAGAAAATTGCACTCATTAAATCGAAATTCGATTTAATTCAAAACAAATTACTAATTTAAATCGGATTTTTTTTTAGAAATAAGGAGTGAATTAAATCGTATTTAGATTGGATTGGATTAAAGTGATTTTAAAAGGTTGCGCTTAGACACCCTCGAGGTTAACTTGTTACGTGTATTTGTGTGTAGACAATCCAATCAAACAAGACAAAATTATATTGACACCTTCTTCACAATTCAAGATCAAAATCAACTTACGGAGTAACAAGGATAGATTCAATTAAATTATATTTAGATTGGATTGGATTAAAGTGATTTTAATCAAGTTGGATCCCTCTCGATCTCCAGCCAACATGGCAACATCCCAAGGTATTGGACAAAATTGATGAATGATGAGTAAGTAACAATCATTGCTTGTAATTTTGTGAATGTGACAAATAAAGTGAGGTCACCAAATAAGTCAATTGCTTCAAAATTAGGAAACTTGCTAGAGTAGCTAGTTATAGCTTATCAAACTCGTGTTATCAAAACTCAAAGGCAAAGCAATTCCATTTTAAGTTGTATATTCTTGCATTAAATTACATTACATTAATCTGTATTCCAAAAAATAGAAAAGAATAATAATGGGTTTCCAAAAGGAATACCTTGATTTAGTTCTTGTACCCTTTGGAATTACATTCATGTTTGTTTATCATATCGCCTTACTCTATAGATACTTGAATCATCCAGAAACTACTGTTGTGGGCCTTGAGAATCATAACAAGAGAGCTTGGGTTGAAAGAGTTATGGAGGTATGTAATTAAGTCTCTCTAAACTTCATTATTTTTGTTTAATTGTATTACTTGTGTTTGATATGGTGGTCCATAATTAGTCGTATATGGATATTATATTGCATAACTAGTGTGACATTTAATTTCGCGTTAATATATGTAGATGTCAACTAGTTTAGCTGGTTAAAGTATTGAAAATGAGATCTGATCTTAGATTTTGAAATCAAATTTTGTTTATATCATTTGTCTTTTGTGGCTCTCTTTACACTAAAAAATAGTATTTTATGTATTATTGCACTAAAATGGAGCAGAGTGCGTGGATGATCTATCAATTTCTCGTCTGTACAAGCTTTTAGTATGGTATAAATGTGAATTTGAACTCTCAATGTATAGCTCAAATTTAGGTTGAACCACAACTCGTTCTTGTTCGTTTGGTTAAATTAATAGTGAGTCCAATCCTTTGAACAAATCTTGTAAGTAAAATTGTTGGGTAAATTAGCATGAAAACTAACAATAATTAGCATGTATATCCTGTGCAGCTTGATGATTTGAGTAGCATGGAGCTACCCTTATCAGCATTATCCTCAAATACATCAGCAGCAACATATCTAGCCTCAATCTCCTTAGGCTTGAGCTCCTTGATTGGTGCATGGATTGCAAGCAACAACAAGGTTTTCGAAAGCGAAATTATATATGGTGATAGAACTCCAACAACCATGATGTTGAAGTACATAAGCCTTCTTATTTGCTTCTTCTTGGCCTTTTTTTGTTTTGTGCAAGCAACAAGATATTTCATCAATGCAACTTATCTCATAAGTATGCCAAATAGTAACACACCTATTTACTATGTTGAAGTTGCTATTATTAGGGGTGGTGAATTTTGGCAACTTGGACTTAGAGCTCTTTATTTTGCCCTCAATTTGTTGCTTTGGTTCTTTGGACCTATCCCTATGTTTGTTTCTTCGGTTTTTATGGTTGTACTCTTGCATTATCTTGACTTGAATTCGATCCCGTTGCATCAATTTCAAGCTTCGGAGAAACAAAGAGGTCAGAGATCAATTAATACTATGGTAGCTACAACCGTTGAACTTAATGTATAATACTGTGATAATTAAAATGATTAAGAAATTTAGTTTGTCATGGCTAATTGTGATATTATTTCCGTGTTTTTGGTTAGGTTCCCAATGGTCTCCTACAGGTCCCTATTTCAAGCTAGAACGTGAAGTTTAATTATGTCTATGGAAGGGATACGAGAATCTACTCCCTTAAACGAGGTTTTGGAGATGCTCCTACTACCACTTGATCCCCAATACTCCTTGATTACAACTCTGTATATATGAGTCGAAAAGTTTAATTAGACTTTTTAATTGGGATGAGACATTGAAATACAATGGTTGTATAAAGTTAATAACCAATTCAACAATTTAAATTTGAATCATATTTGTAAGTTAAACACGCAATAAAGTGATTGGTTGGTACTAATTAAATATTGAAATGGAGGGAAGAATAGTATGGCCAATATTGTAAAAATCTAATTTCCTTCCTTTTGCTTCAAGCAACATAATAGTGTGTCTTGATTTATTTAATTATACTACTTCAGTTTATTTTTTGCTTTTTACTTTCTCTAGTTTTATTTTACTTGACCTATTTTGACTTTTACCTTGTTCACAATCACTAATGAGTAGTGACTATCTTTTGTGATTCATACACAAGAAAAACATAATAATAGTCATGTGGAATTTTGATTGAATCTTTTCTATAAAATTTATCGTAAAATCTATTTGTTACAGAGTATAGGAATTAAAGATCTTAGTAGTTCGATTAATGCATTAACCAAAATGATAAATGAAGCAAGTTAAGTAAGGAAAAGAACCAAGGAAGTTTATGAAACTGATGATTGGGATTGAATAGCTGAATTAAGGACATATGGTTTTCACTTTTCAGTCACCATCTATTTTGTGAGGTTACATTTTACTGGGTTTTGTAGGCCCATTCACCTAATTAAGGCCCAAAGTGGTAAGTTTAAATTTGGCCTGGGTTTTACATATGTTTATTGGGCTTGCCGGCCTATAGCCTGTAACTTGTATGTGACCAAATTAACTTGTTTTTACACTCAAACTATACTTGAAATTGAAATGCACATAATTTACTCTAAATCAACATTGACATAATATGAAATTAAATCGACTTAAATATTGATATGAATTACTTTTTATTTCTATCATTCCTTCTTAAAAATCTACAATTAAACACAATCGCTTGATTTTAGTAATGTCTCCATACCTTCTACGCCAACTATACAACTTAATTAGAATCCTTACCGAACCATGAACCGTATTACAATAACCCAAAACTTAATGAACAACCTCATCGACTTATAAACAACGGTATATGCTACTCATTAAGTATCAAAAACAACAGTTATTCCGATCCTATCAAGAACTCCATATATGAATCATCAATAACCTTCATTTTAGTCATTTTAGACTATTAGCAACCTTATTTTTGTACAGTCGATAACCCCTACGATAGCTTTATACGTGCACTGTCAATACTCACAATGTCATTGAATCGAATATATCAGAACCCGTACTAGTGTACAACTAATGATATAACACATCACATACAAATTGGTGAAAGATAAACAACTACAACTACAACTACTATATGGGTCAAAAGATTAGAAAAAGATGAAATTCACAAATAGTAGTAAAACAGCATAATAATGGCCCACACAATGTAACATCAAAATGAAAGGGGATCCATACTTTGCCTGTGACACCAGACCCATTTAGTAGTGTAGTGTTTGTGGGGCTTTGGTCTTTCTTGTTTGATTGTTACCCGGACAATTTTCTACTCTCTACCTTTTTTATATTTTTATTTTTTTCTAAATAATAATATCGCCAATTTTAATACTCTATTTGTCTCCTAATATAAAGACTCTTTTGATTTTTGTGCAGGAATTAAGAAAATTATAATTTTTAAAAACTAGTGATTAAAAGTTTATATGTGCATGTGGGGTTAGAGAGAGAAAATGTTGGAAATTGATCTAAAAAAAATGACAACTTATAAAAAAGAGGATAATAATGTCAAAATATACAACTTTAAATACAAAAGGCATTGTATTTAGGCTTTGTATTAGAGGGCGGAGAGAGTACATAGCTGGCCACATGCTATGACCATTGACTGGCCTTAATGGGCTACTTCATTAGTGTTGTAGGAGTTACTTCGGGTCTGTTCTCATACGTTGAAATTCAGTTTAGTTCAGTTCAGTTCAGCTCCTAATTTCCTTCTCTTATAAAATATTCATTTCAGTTCAGTTCAGTTCAGCTCCTAATTTCCTTCTCTTATAAATATTCATTTCAGTTCAGTTCATTTCATCTCGGCTCAGTTCAGTTTAGTTTAGTTCAATTCAGTTCAGCCAATGGAACAGGCCCTTCGTCAGTATTATAAGGATTGTTTATCAATATTACAGGGATTTCTTAGGGCCTGTTCTCATATGTTGAAATTCAGTTCAATTCGGTTCATCTCATTTCATTTCAGTTCAGTTCAGCTTCTAATTTTCTTCTCTTATAAAATATTCAGTTCTGTTCAGTTCAGTCAATCAGAACATGCCCTTAGTCAGTGTTATAAGAGTTGTTTTGTTCTTTTACAAGCGGCTATATAATGTTTCCGGCCGCACACAAAAAATAATAATTATAATAATATAATAATTTTGTCGTTTTTAAATACTTGCTACACTTTTCATTTTTCGCCATTTTTAAATTCTTGTTTCATTTCCTTAGTTGGAAACTTTTATAATATTAAATTCACTTCTCTCACCTATTCGACCCAACATAATTCATATTTTATTAATTTCAAATTCTCTCTCCTCCAATTCTATCTACTAGTATTACTTTTGCTTTTTCACAATTTTTTATTCTTCCACCTATTCTAATATTTTCATATTTTATTACTTTTTTCAATTTCTCTAAAAACTCCACCCATGAAAAAATAGAGCAAGTATTTAAAAACGGAGAGAGTAATAAATATTTCATATTAATAATGATTAATTAGGAGGATCAAGAGCCGTTGGATTAAAAATGAAGGGTCACAAAATGAACGGTTGGATGGGTCTTTTTACTTTTGTTATTATAGAACACATTGAGTAGCCGACAGGTTCTGCAAACCAGCATGACAACGATTGGTCTAGTTCTTTTTGGCAAGGGAAGGTCTTTGATGGTGAGCCTTTTTCTTTGTATTTTTGAGAGTATGGGGTCCAGCCTGTCCTCCATACATATCTTGCCACGTGTTCTTTTAACATGTTGGGGATAAGAGGGTTTTTTTCTTTTTTCTTAAATTTTGGGTGTGTGATTTAAAAGGGGACAATAGTTTTCAATGCTTGGGTTTTCATTCAAACAATTGACTATAGGAGGTGCAATTTGCCTCTCCCATCAATCTTTTTTGTCGATTTTTTCTCCGTTTTTAAAACATTGTCTCAATTCCGGTCAATAGCAAATTGAGTTTGTACATAATCATACACAGTGTTTGGGTACTAAAATGGTCATACCCATTTTAGTCTTGGGTAACTCTACCCATATAAGCCCAAAGGGCATAAAAAAGGTATAAAAGACCCCAAATAAGTCAAATACATCAATATGGCCTTCAACGGCCCACATATGTAATTTTAGGGCTCATAAACCCACTTATGTACTCATATAAATACCCCTCAAAGGGCATAAGGTAAAGAGAGGTCACTCTTATCATCTAAGATGACCATACTCCTCCACTCTCTCCCCAAAACTCCTCTCAAAATATGCATTGTTTGGCAACTAATTTGGGCGTCGGAGGCTCCGCCCCGGGTTCAACCCCCGGGGCTCGGGGTTCATTTTGCAGGTCCATTCAAGGCCCAAATTCGAGGTTCTCAGACACCCCTCCAAGGCCCGGTTAGCTCATTTTTTGCCGAAACAATTTGGCGCCGTCTGTGGGGAGACGAGTACAACTACCCATGAAAATCCACTAATTCATGGCTACTGTGTTCTATCACGAAAAAGGGTCAAAATTTCTAGCAAATTTAACCCAAAATTATTACTCCTGTCAAAAGGGGTAATCATTCTTGCAAATGGTGGAGATGATAGATAAACATTTTGATTTGTCGCCAATCTAACCACTACTAACAAGGTACTTCGTGCCTTTACAAAAAAATTGGGAAATATTCCATGAATATGGTCAAACCTTAATTATTCTTGAAGAAGAATAAAAGCTAGATCTACGTGGCTCTAATGGAAAGCTCACAAAAGCAAGCTTTTCATTCACACCACCAAGTTGAAGAGGCAGCAGGTGGCATGAAACATACATAAAAAATCAATCAAGTTTATGTAAATTCAATGCTTGCCGAAGGAAATTGCCATTGTCTTCATCACAAGCTTCAAGGCTCACAACTCCACCACTAGAACGACTCACCATTTCATCCTAGGCAACACATGCCGAGGTCAATGGGGGTCAAGGCTAGTATTGTGAAGTGAGCCAAATCTCTTCACATCACATCTAAAGTAGCAGCCGAAGAAGATCCGAGGTTGTCTACCATTGTTGAAGCTTAAAAAACCTCAAACTATCACCAATCTAAAAATCCGAAGCAAATAGCTCGGATAAGCAAAAGGAATCCAAAGTTCATCGAGCCGAGGCTATCCGAAGGTGTTTCAGCCCAGGCCGAAGGTGTTCTGGGCAAGCCAGCCGGGCCGAGACCGGTGTTTCAGCCAAGCCTAAGGCTTTTCAGCCGAGACCGAAGGAGTTTCAGCCCAAGCCGAAGGCGTTCTGGGCGAGTCGAAGGTGATTCAGCAGAAACCAAGGGTGGTACAGTTTACCGCTCCCAAGTTAAGGTCGGTAACCATTGCCGAGCCGAAGCTCACCTCTTATCTCCTGGCCGAGGCTAGCCATAGCCGAAGCCGAGCCCAGCCGAGGTTTACCTTCGCCGAGATTCGAGCTCCCAGCCGAAGCTCACAACCATATGAGCCGAGGGTGCTGCCGAAGATGGTTTGTCTGAACCGAAGAAAGAGTAATCAACTCTTTCTATCTTCGGATCAAGAGTAAACTCTTTCTATCCCCGGATCAAGAGTAATAAACTCTTTCTATCCTCGGATTAAGGGTAAACTCTTTCTATCCTCGGATCAAGAGTAATAAACTCTTTCTATCCTCGGATCAAGAGTAACCTCTTTCTATCCCCGGATCAAGAGTAATAAACTCTTTCTATCCTCGGATCAAGGGTAAACTCTTTCTATCCTCGGATCAAGAGTAAAACTCTTTCTATCCCCGGATCAAGAGTAATAAACTCTTTTTATCCTCGGATTAAGAGTAAAACTCTTTCTATCCTCGGATCAAGAGTAAAACTCTTTCTATCCCCGGATCAAGAGTAATAAACTCTTTCTATCCTCGGATCAAGAGTAAAACTCTTTCTATCCCCGGATCAAGAGTAATAAACTCTTTTTATCCTCGGATTAAGAGTAAAACTCTTTTTATCCTCGGATCAAGAGTAAAACTCTTTCTATCCCCGGATCAAGAGTAATAAACTCTTTCTATCCTCGGATCAAGAGTAATTAACTCTTTCAGT